AGGAAGCCCACCACTGGATCTCCATCCTTTTCTTTGCTGTGTACACCTCTGTGATTCTGGGCAATGGTACCCTCCTCTTCCTCATCAGGGATGACCACAGTCTCCATGAGCCCATGTACTATTTCCTAGCCATGCTGGTGGCCACTGACCTTGGGGTGACTATGACCACAATGCCCACTGTACTGGGGATCCTGTGGTTAGATCACAGGGAGATTGGATATGGGGTCTGCTTCTCTCAAGCCTACTTTATCCATTCCCTAGCAATAGTGGAATCAGGTGTCTTACTTGCCATGGCTTATGATCGATTTATTGCCATTCGAAATCTCCTGAGATACTCATCTATCCTCACCAATGCCAAAGTGGTGAAGATTGGGGTGGGGTCACTACTAAGAGGCTGTGTGTTTATAGCTCCCCCAATAGTGCCCCTCCATTGGTTTCCTTACTGCCATTTCCATGTTCTCTCCCATGCCTTCTGCCTCCACCAGGATGTCATCAAACTGGCCTGTGCAGACATCACCTTCAATCGCATCTACCCAGTAGTTCTGGTTTCATTTACTGTATTCCTAGATTCCTTGATCATCCTTTTCTCTTATATACTAATCCTAAAGACAGTCATGAGCATTGCCTCAGGAGAGGAGAGGACCAAAGCCCTTAACACGTGTGTCTCCCACATCTACTGTGTTCTGGTCTTCTATGTGACAGTGATTGGCTTGTCTCTCATCCATCGTTTTGGAAAGCATGTGCCACGTGTGGTTCACATTGCAATGAGCTACGTCCACTTCCTCTTCCCTCCATTAATGAATCCCCTCATCTACAGCATCAAAACCAACCAGATTCAGCATGGCATTCTTCACATGTTCTCTCCATGCAAATCAAAGATTTAATCAGTGCTCCTTGGGATCCTCCACACAGGCAAGTGGGGTCAATATTGTTCTGCCAATAGAAGCTCATTATGCTCTTAGAACACTTGGTGTCTCCATGTAAAGACAGTTAGCCATTAAGAAATGCTGGGTGGCTTCTCCTAAGATAAATTGATTTCCTAATACATTACAGAGCTATAGTATACACTTAGCTCTGAAATGTGAGATTAAGTAACTCAAGTTTAAGTTGGAATTGATTTGAAATCATAATAATGATTTCACATTAGAGGAGAGGACTAAGTCTCCACTGAGGCCCAGGATATTCCTCAGGATATTTGCTATCCTTCACTAGGCTGAGATATTCTCCAGGAGAAAAAGCCTTGCCTCCCTGATTATTTGTGGGTTCTGTGAATATGATGGCCTTGTTCTTCACCTGATTAAATGTCCCTAAGGGTATAGGCCATGCATATCTACACATTTAAAATGCATTCCAGGATTCCAGAAGATAAGACCACACCTTCCTGAAAGTGACCTGAAAGTAGTCACTGTCTCCTATTTCTGTCCATTCTCTTCAAATAGTTGTCCTTCTCTTAGTTCAGACTAAATGTCAGACTTGACCTGCTTCGTCCCAGGGCGTAGAACTAGGAACAAAGGTTGAAAGCTGCAATGAGGCAAACTTGGGCTTGGTGTCAGGTAGTGAAAAATAAACAAACAAGCAAACAAACAAATGGAAAAAAAAACTGCCTTACATCGAGAGTGATCTGAAGGTCCACAGTTGCCATGGTCAGCCTTTCAAGGCAATGGATTCACCTTCACTGGAGGTCTTCAGAAAAAATAAATGCTGCATGACCACCTGTCAGGTATATTGTAGAGGGGATTCTTTTCCATACATAGGTTGGGCTAAATGCTCTCTGAGTTCTTTTCTACCATTCTGTGATCCTTTGCTGTGGGGTTGTCTGGCATTTCAGAGATCCTATTATTGTTGTTGTTGTTTTTGTTCTTCATTCTCCAAGAGGACCATGGCATCAGGAAGGAGATGTCATGACTTGTAAGTGAATTGGATTTAAGTGACGGAGGGCTGTGCAAAGTTACCAGCCTCACTTCCTCCTCTGGAGCCATCTGGCTCCAGTTGCAAGATAAAGATCAAGACAACTGGAGATGGCCTCCTCAGAGATCATAGAGAAGACTGGGAAGTGCCCTGGGAAGGAGTGTGCCCTCTGTTGGAGGCCAAGAAAATTGTAGGAAGTGGAATGGTAGGAAGCATGGGGTGTAAGCTGGACGACTCAGGATCACTAAAGAAACCTAAAATTGGAAGTGGTACATGAGTCTTCTATTGGCAGCTGTGGGGAGCTGCTGAAAGCATGAATAATAAGTAGAACAAGGTGGCATGGTGCCAGGTGCTGAGAGAGGACAAGTATGGGATGCAAGTAAATGATACAAGATGGAAAAAGGCATCCATGACAGGGACAAGCTATCAGTGACTTCTGAGATGGACTGAAAGTAAGAGAGCCAGAGGAAAGAGCAAGAAGAGGATCAATATGTAGGAAACCAGGTGTCTCCTGTAAGTAACTATATAGGATTCTAAGAGATGGTTATTCATTAATAATGATAGTTTCTTTTGACTCTAATTTGAGTGGTTTTGCTTTCCTTGACTTGCAAATAATATATTCATATTTTGAGTTTTGTGAGCCCACAAACTTAAAAGGAGAATGAATGACTATACTAGCGTATAAGGGGTTTATCAAAATTTTTAGTTCTAAGATTACCTTGATGGATATCAGAGATACTGACAAGTCCCTCAAATTGTATCCATTGCTCTTTATTATTCTTCATGGGGCTAAGAAGAACACATGAAAGTCCTTCAAATATGTGCACATAACTCTAACATCCAAATCTCCAGGTTAAATATTTTCAGTTCCTTCAAGCTTTTTTTAGAGGACCTCACCTTAAGGATCTTTGCCATCTTGGTTGCCTTCTTCTGTATGCTTTCCACCTCACTAATAGGCTTCCTAAAGTGAAGTGCTCAGAACTAAACACAGTCTGCAGATTTGATCTGATCAAGGTAGACACACAACTATCATGTCCCCATTCCTGGAAAGTAAGCCTTTTGTAATATGGTGTAAATTCACATTGACTTTTGGAGCTATCACTGTAATAGTGCTGACAATCAATTTCACACTATCATTTCATTGTAAGAATAAATATTTATAAAGCATCTATTGTGTTCTGGGCTCTGTGGTCCCTGCTGAATATCATACAAAGGTAAATAGATCTCAGCATCTGACCTCAAGGAACTTGAAGTCTATTGAGGTTGGTGGTTGGCTAGAGATTAAATGCATAATTTAAATGTTTCACTATTCTAAAAGTATGTGTGCTCCTATAGTGACCCTTATCTACTTTAGTATTCAGTGTAAAAAAGATGCTGAGACAGAATATTAATCATCTAGCAGTCAAACTCTTGGTAAAATGAATCTTTTAAAACCTGGCTTGAATGTTCTTCTAATGATAGATACATCATCTGTCATTGGATCCATAGTTGAAGACTTTCAAAGTCAGGACATTCAGACATAACAAGTTCTCCACTAACAAAACATTTGAGGATTCAGGCACAAATCCTGTCCCTCCCCTCATCTCATTGATAAAGGAGCATTGAAAAAAGACCTTACCAGATATGACCATGATTCCAGTGGACTGACAATGGAGAAAGCTACTCACTGCCTGATAGAAAGGTGATAGACTCCATGACAAAAAGAAACATTTTTTGATGAGGCCAATGTGGGAACTTGTTTTGTTTTATTGTGCATATTTGGTACAATGATTTGTTTTGTTTTCAGTTGGGGGAGGTGGGAGTGAGAGAGAATAAATTCTTGTCAATTAAAAAAATAAGTTTAACTACTAAAAACACAAATAGCGACATTACTAAATGGAATGATTAGAATGCATGAGAGAGAAACAGGTTAAGTGCCATGAGAGTTTTTAAGAAGGAAGGGTCTCAGGGGACGAAGCCAAGATGGTGGAGTAAATGCAGTGACTTGCTTGAGCGCTCTCTCAAACCCCTCCAAACACCTATAAAAAATGGCTCTAAACAAATTCTAAAGCAGCAGAACCCACAAAAAGACAGAGCAAAACAAATTTATAGCCCAAGACAGCCTGGATCATTGATCTGAAAGTACATAGTGCCAAGCAGCAAGAGGAGCACAGTTCAGCATGGGCGTGCAGGCAAGGCAGGCCTCAGCAAACCTGAAACAGGCCTCAGAGGACTTAATTGAAGTCAGCTGTGGCCGTTTCCAGACTTCTCAACCCACAAACATCAAAGACAACTTAGAAGGTGAGTGGGAAAAGTCTGTGTCAGCAGGGAGAGAGAAAAGTGCGGAGCCAGCCCCAGTCCCTGAGCTTGGCCCCAGGGTGGAGGCTGCTTCCAGAGCTTCTGGCCACAGACTGAGGGGGAATCGAGTAGTTGATCAGAGGGGTATTGCAGGGATCTATTTGCTGGTGCAGGATTCTCTTGTTTTGCCCATGTTTGGATCTAGGTTACAGTTCTGGGTGGTGGTCCTAGGGCAAGGAGGAGCACTGGAGAGGTGGAGCGTGTAGTGGCGGTAGAGAGGAAATCCTCCTCACAGTTCCAAGACAGAAAAGAGTACTTGTGGTCACTCACAGACTAGAGCACAGGCCAGGAAAGGAGTAAACACCCTACCCTTGATCATACCACCTTGGAAGAACTGAAAATTTACAGGTCCCTAGAAGTATCTCAGAAAATAGCTGCACACAACCCCTGAAGCTTGGGACAGCACATCCTCCACACTGGAAGCAGACCCCTACCTTAGCAAAGAGTTTGTAACTCAAGTAATTGGCTGAGATCATGAGCAAATAGGACAAAAAAAAGTCAGATCATAGAATCTTACTTTGGTGACAAAGAAGATCAAACCAAACAACCAGAAGATGACAACAAAGTCAAAGCTCCTACATCCAAAGCCTCCAAGAAAAATATGAATTGGTCCCAGGCCATGGAAGAGCTCAAAAAGGAGTTTGAGAAGCAAGTAAGAGAAGTAGAGGAAAAACTAAGAGTGATGCAAGAAAATCATGAAAAACAAGTCAACAGCTTGCTAAAGCTGTTGCCAAAAAAATACTGAAGAAAATAACATCTTAAAAAATAGCCTAACCCAAATGGCAAAAGAGGTCCAAAAAGTAGATGAGGAGAAGAATGCCCTAAAAAGCAAAATTGGCCAAATGGAAAAGGAAGTACAAAAGATTACTGAAGAAAATACTTTCTTAAAAATTAGAATGGAGCAATTGGAAACTATTGACTTTATGAGAAATCAAGACACTGTAAAACAAATCCAAAAGGAAAGAAAAAAGAAAACAATGTGAAATATCTCATTGGAAAAACAACTGACCTGGAAAATAGATCCAGGAAAGAAAATTTAAAAATTATTGGACTATCTGAAAACCATGATCAAAAAAGGAGCCTAGACATCATCTTTCAAGAAATTACCAAGGAAAACTGCCCTGATATTTTAGAACCAGAGGGCACAATAGAAATCGAAAGAATCCACTGATCACCTCCTGAAAGAGATCCCCAAAGAAAAACTCCTAGGAATATTGTAGCCAAATCCCAGAGTTCCCAGGTCAAGGAGGAAATATTGCAAGCAGCCAGAAAGAAACAATTCAAGTATTGTGGAAATACACTCAGTATAACACAAGATTTAGCAGCTTCTACATTAAGGGACCACAGGGCATGGAATATAATATTCTGGAGGGCAAAGGAGATAGGATTAAAACCAAGAATCACCTACTCAGCAAAATTGAGTATAATCCTTCAGGAAAAAAAATGGTCATTCAGTGAAATAGGGAACTTTCAAGCATTCTTGATGAAAAGACCAGAGCTGAATAGAAAATTTGACTTTCAAATACAAGACTCAAGTGAAACATGAAGAGATAAACAGGAAAGAGAAATCATAAGAGACTTATTAAAGTTGAATTGTTTATATTCCTGCATGGAAAGATGATATTTGTAAGTCATGAGA